AGATTGCGAGATTTGGGAGCTGGGGGTGGTTCAACGTTGCAACGTGTACAAAGCGGGCAAGGGGGAGGGGGACGTGGGGGGGATAGGGGGAGGAAAGGGAGAAAGGAAGGGAGTCCTTGTAAAGGTAGGTGGAAAAAACGGGTGTAACGAATTGCTGCAATCTCCACTTGTTTGGGTGGTGGTGATACATGTGTGTATGTATGTGTGTGGGAAAGAGAGGAAAAGAGATAAGGGAAGAGGTAAGGGAGAGATAAGGGGAGGAACAGAGGGAGGGAGGGGGGGAAGAGGGGCAAAGCTGGAAAAGAGGACAAGCAGAGAGAGAGAGAGAGACAGAGAGAGAGAGAGAGAGAGGGCAGCGACAGAAAGAGCGAGCGCACACACAGCGTACACAGCGTACACAGCGCACACTCACTCACTCGCACAGCACACACACAGAGCGCGCGCAGACTGACTCACTCACACGGCACACACACTCACTCTCTCACTCACTCGCTCACACAGCACGCACACGGAGGAATGTGGGGGCGGGAAGGACAGTCGTAACAAGGGTCAAGTGAAAATAAGCAAAGCGCGGGCCATGTAGAGAGCAGTTGACGGGTCAAGACCACAAGACAAGACTCTGGGACTGGAATCACGCCCGCCAATGACCACCACCATCACACACAACCCGGGGAGGCATCGCAGACGCTCAAAGGCCAAAAGGCGTTCTCACCAAGCTCTCTCCCTCTGTCCCTCTGCTGCGGTGTTTACCAAACGAATGACCACCACCACCACCAACAACAACAACAACGACGACGACGACGACGACGACGACGACGACGACGAAAGAAGGGGGAGACAAGGACCGTACCTGATTTCGCAGAGTGCACCAGGCAAGAGGCGGCGCCGAGGCAAACCGAGATCAAGAGGCACGGGCGTTGAAAGGCGCGAAGGACCTTTCGATTTGGGAAAAAAAAAACAGCAGGTCGGGGACCCGGGCCGGGAAGGGGGAGGCAGGAAGAAACCGTCGCAGAACAACAGGCGAGGGGGAGGGAAGAGCGCGACTCGGGATGAGAAATTGGCTCGCAGCGTTGACGGGTGAGGGCGCTCCAGAAGCGAGCTGGGCTGCTGAGAGATGTAACTCTACAACGGTCTCTATACCAGAGAGGCGCGTTGTCACGGTTCGGGCTAAAGCAGATCAAGCTGTATTTCAAGTAATGTCGCAGAGAGTGAGAAGAAGGTGGGCTCGTCGTCAGAGATGTCATGCCACAGCATATCCACCTGGAGGGGGCCATGGGCATAGGGGGAGAAAGGGGATATCGTGGCAAGCCGCGCGGCTCTGTGAGAGGGAGAAACCAAGGGCTTTTTGAAGTAAATATCAGAGTTGTTGAAGATTTCATGGCGATATAGTGCTATTTAATGGTGTATTTGAGCAGGTTTGTGTAGATATTTTCACAGGTTTCGTGGAGATGGCGCGTGGGGCGCACGGTGATGGCGCATCACCATGTCCTCTTTTCTGACGTCAGCATGCTCGATTGTTGGTTGAAAGTGTATAGCATGTCACACTTTTACAAATTGGAGTCGGGTTGATTCTGCTGTTCGGCGTGATTGCAGCAGATCGTGCCTGCCCTTGGCATTCAGCTTGCAATCGCGGCGACATCACCAGTGCCCCGAAGAGAGAGAAAGAGGGGGAAGGGAGGTGCGCGCAAGTGTGTCTGTGTGTGTGTGTGTGTGTGTGTGCGGCGAGAGAGATATGCAGAGGCGCAGGCACACCACTTGAGGCCAACGCTCCCTATTCGTGATCCCTCCTTGCTTGCTCCGATCAAGCTTTTCTCCCTCTTTTCCCTATGTAGCCAACGTAGGGCGCTAATAGCTTTAAGCCCCCTCTTGCTGTAACCACCCGCCCCCCCTCAAGTATTATCAGTAGGTGAAGGCAGTGACAATAACCATTGAATTTCGAAGCCATTTTTCCCTATTTTTTTTTTTTTTTTCTTTTTTTTATGAAAGCAGGGAGTTTGATGCTGTCGCGCACCGTTGGTCGCGTACAGGCGAGTGCATGTCTGGCTCAACGACAACGAAGCATGAAAAGCCGCACAGATTGGTCGCGATTCCCAATTCGATTCGATAAAGGAAAAAGGAGGCCCCACAGGCCGAGAACCAGAGACGAGAGACCGAGATCACCGACTACAAGGTGACACGACAAAGGGGCAAAAGGGGAAATGGGGTGATGAGGCAGTGATCAGATGAACAAACCGAAAGAGACAGAGCCATGCCCGATGAAGACACACAGTTGAGACACGCAGAACACAGACAGAGGCACACACACAGACGGAGAAGGAGGGAGGGAGACACGCAGACGGACGGAGACACCTAAACGGACGGCGACACTCAAACGGAAACTACTTTAGCAGTCAAGTCTGCCTTATCCGATCTGACAAACACAACTGGACAAACGTGTTTGCCCCGCGTGTGCTCGTTTAAGCTTATTTCACCTTTGACAAAGGCACATGTGTGTGGGATCGTTCCATGGGGTTCAACCTTCAGGTAGGTCCATCCAATCCAGACCCCAGGTCATACATATTCGCAACATTTGCCACACCCATGCATGGATTTTTATAAAGAAATAGCTTTATTACATCATACGTGCATGTAAACATCACCACACGCATCGCGTGAACACATGACTCCGCCCTCTTGGCCTCGCGCACCCCGCGCATTTCCAGCGCACCTGACGAGCCACGACGACGCTGCCGGCGGCGTATGGTGAGTTTGGCTGCGAGCTCTATCACGACGGTTTCTTTGATGTTTGATCATTCGTGCGCGTGAACTGCCGTGTGGCATGTTCCCCCGCCTCGTGGCATCGTGTTCGATTGTCCTGTGAACCGCCGCCCTCCTCTCTCTCCTCTCGTCGTCCTCTCTCTTCTCTCGTCACGTCTTGAAGCTGCTCGCTTCCTCTTTTTTTTTCGATTGAACCTTCCAGTATTGATGCATCTGCTTGGTGTGCTTGAAGTGCCGGCTGGGCTCCGCATGCCCTCGAGCCGCGGACTCACCCGTGCTCGGCCCGGCACACTAGGCACACAGTGTTTGTCATCTTCCAGAAAAACTCAACGACAACGCTCGACTGATGAGATGCGTGGCTTGGTGGCCTTTGGGCTCATGGTCATGCTTGCATGGGCATGCCATGCTTCGCAACAAGAAGAGGCTTGTGCGTCATGCTCGGCTCGCAACGATGAAGGGAGAACCTGCCGCCGCACCGCCGTTTTGGTGGAACCCACAAGACGAACCTCGACATCCATTTCCTGTGGATCATGGTATCCGCGCGTGACTGGCATCGCTCTTTACGCTTACAACGCATCGTATGAAGCAACCTCCTACCGGGTCGAGGTAGTTGCATCAAACCCCACTCTAATAATATGGAACACCACTTTGCACGGCACCTCTGCCGATGGCTGCCTCTTCGACACTGGCAGCATCACCTCCCCCACCACTTCCAACCTAGAGGTCCGCTTCATCAACATCGGCAATGAGCCAGCCTTGTTCTATTTCGGCCTCACGCAAACATGTGTTGCCAACCGCTCCGAACCTTACTTTCCCCCGACAACGCCGGCGCCGCCAACGCCCCCTCCAACGTTGGCACCGGGTACTTGTAGTCAAGACGCCGGTCCCTATTGCGCCATGCAGGCCGATTGCCTCGGCCTGACCTGCCGATTGCCTGTGCCCAGCTTTGAGGCCGTTGACATCATTCTCCGCTTCCAGACCTGCGATGCTTCAGACCTTCACCTCACCGTCAACGCCCAAGACGTCTACAGCCCGGAAAAGTGGGACATGGGCACCGCCCGAACGGGCACCGTCATCTCCGTTCCCACAGCCCTGCAGTCTCCCCACTTTCGGATCCATGACCTCGACATGGACAACCTCAACCAGCTCACCCTCACCCTCAACGCGTCCTCAACCATGGTGGGCGACCTCGACATCCCTACCCTCCACACCCGCATCGCCTCAGACACTTGCGCTCGCACGACCCCGCCGCCAAATACCCGTTCAAAAAAAGTCGACGCTTGCTGCTGCCGCCATCGCTGGTCTTGTCATTGGCATTTGCCTGCTCCTCTGCCTCCTTGTCGCTGCGGTCCTCTATTTTCGTGCCCACTCGCATCTCCACCCTGCCGTTCGTGCCTCAGACGCGTCCGAACTTGTTCAAGCCAACTCGCTCGGCGAAAGTCAAGCTTCGGCTTGGGCCCTGCCAGAGTCAACCCATGCTTAATGGACCGCTCCCAGCAAACTGATGTATCCAGCTTCTTTTGTGAACTAATTGATCTAGCTAGCCAAACCCTCTAGCCACCTGTTCTGCGTATATCAATGAGCCACGGAATGCATTGAAGCAGGCCAAGTGACCCGCTGCATCATGAATCAAACAGTAGGACTGACATGAACAAAGATGGCCGTCTTCGGCAAGCTTGAATGGCAACGTATTTTTTTTTTTTTTTTTCAATTACAACATATGAACAAGCATGGGATGACACACCAATGCAAACCTAGTGCGATTACAACCGGATCTTATGCAGTCGAAACACAATCTCAGACATGGGCAGGGAAGGAGACAACCGACCTCGAATCAAGCCGTTTCCTGTCCTCGCCCCCTCTCCAAAACACGATAAAGAAACACTCATGCTTAATTCTCATCCCATCATTCGGGACGTCATCTGAACGTTGTTAACACCCCGTTCAGTTCAGGCCTGGCTCCCACTACTATCAGGCTCAGCGGCTTGCTCCTGCAAAAGGCGGCCGAAGAGTGCTTCGATGCGCAAAGCATCTTCCACTTCGGCGCGAGGCACCAACAGCTTGCACTACAAAAGACAGCGACAACCAGCACAGCACGCCGCAAAAGGTCAGATCAAAAGAAGCAAAAGGCCCCTCCCATGTATTTTTAAAGTTGAATCAGTTCAGGGTCGGGGACATTTCTCAAAAAAGAAAAAAAAAAAGTATCATCATCAGAAGAAGGCAGGCATCGAGTCCCCATTTGTCAACTCTCGTTCGATGCCCTACCTTGGCGTGTCGAAAGTGGGAGCGTGAGGCTACTGGGGGTGCATGAATGTACCCCGAGCAGCCCATGTGCTGCAACGTTTCGTAGAGCTCGTCGCTCAGAGGCGGAATCCCGACTTCCTCGGCCAGGACGCGATAGCGATCCAAAACCTGAGGAGAAAGACATGCGGAACAGATTGCAAGTGTGAGCAAAGGCGACGATCGAGCTGTGGCGCCATTTTGGCTTGCATGACAAACCTTGGCGCATTCCACAGCCTGGTCGTCACGGCAACAATGATAGAGTGCCACCAAGAGCAGCTTTTGATGCAGGGGCATCTGCTTGATGCGGAGCACCCGGTCAGAGCCGAGTACGGAGGCAAAGAGAGAAGCCATGATAGCAATTTGTGGACGCTTGTCCTTTTCAGAAAGCTCGAGGACACGGCGGCACAGGTCGAGGGTCTGACGAATATCCCCTGATACGGCCGTGACCTATTCAAACGGCAAACATGAAGTGAAATGAAATTTCGGGATCAACGTGGGCCAAAGCATATGCCTGAGACAGCACGCACACAGCCACTGGAGTGCAACATCAGGTGGAGTGTTGGAAGTTACCTTGGCGGCACACAACTTGAGAGCAGCGTCTTGAAGCAGAGCAGCACCCGAGGGCACCTCGTCCATACGATGGCGTACAATGTTCACAAGTTCGTCCTTGGTATAAGGCTCGTAAAGCACCGTTTCGGGCTGGCATTGCCAACGATGGAGAAGAGGCAAAATGCGTTCCGTCAGGTCCAAGGCATTGGCAATGCTCACAAGCACGACTGAGGAATCTGGCTGCTGTGGCCAGGAAAAGAGTTGATAGAGCACGCTGTTGTCGCGAGTGTGCAGCTGATCAACCTCATCCACCACCAGGACCACTGTGGGCAGTCGATCAGCCCCAATCAATAGACTTTTGAGCTTGGTCAGTGCCACATCGGTTGGCCACATCCGGTCCTCTCCAAGCAACTGCTGCAAGATGCGCTATTGGGCGACCACAAGGAAAAAAAGAACGGCGATGGGAAAAGTGAACTAACCAGTTCAATGCTTCCAGCGGAAGACACCATGGGCAGCGTACCGAATAAATGTGTGTGGGGTCACGCAAGGTCATGCAGTTGATGCAAACGGTGGGGGTATCGTCCCCAGCGGCACCACGAGCCGCAATCAACTGGTTGAGCGTGGCCGTCTTCCCCGTTCCTAAAAAGGCGATGGGAAGAGAAAAAGAGAGAGAGGAGGGAGGCAGAGAGGGAAGCAGAGAGGAAGAAGGGAGAGGAGAAGACAAAAACAGGGGGGAGATGCGGACCACGGCGTCAGGGTAAAGAAAGTGAGAGAACAAGAGCTTTGATCTTCCCCCTGCCACCTCGAACAGAAACAGCGAGAAGGAGCGGTGGCTAATTTGGTGTCACACGAGGACAGACCTGGTTTGCCGCTGATGTAAAGAGCACCGGGTTTGCGTGCGTCCACGTGTTCACGCCAAAAGGTGCGCACAGTCTCTTGTTCGCGGGCTCGGCCAATGAGTTGGGCTGGGACGGCGCCCGGTGTGAGGGTGGCCATGACGCGCTGGCGAATGCTTAAGCGAGAGAGTTGGGCAGGCGAGGGCATGCGCGGGCTGGTAGGGTCGGCCAGAAGGAGATGGCTTCCCGGGGATCCACCTGGATGGGCCCGCACCATGCGTCGCGGCGAGTTGGGCACGCCATGTCGAGGGCTGGCAGAGCTTGGGTTGGATGTATTCTGGTTGTGGGTGAGGGGCCGTACCGGCATGGGCAAGGGGCGATTTGTTGGTGACTTGCGCCCCGTTGAGGCAGGCCGTCGGGCATCCAGAGCAGCGGCTCGAACATGCGGTGGCGTGAGCGCTGGCGCGGTGCCTTCCAAGCGAGCTCGCAGTGTTTGGTGTTGCGTTGGTGGCGAACGAGGCGGCGAGGTCGGTCCCAAGAGCTGGCGCGTTGGCTGAGGAGCGGCATTGTGACTGGCAACAGTTGGGCTCTCGATGAAGACTTTGGTTTCGGTTTCCACTGCAGGCATCACCGGGCTGGGTGGAGACAGTGCGTCGGGGGAGAGGGCAGCCGGGGACAAGACGGCCGTCGGAGAAGCGTTGGATTCCTCTTCGTCCGAAAGGACAATGCCCTGGCGTTTGACACGCTTCGGGGCAGTGGAGTCGAGACTCGAAGCGCGGGACTTTGTGTGTGAACTGGGTTTTCCTAAACGAGACGACGAGCCGTTCGTCTTGCCCTTGGCAGGAGCTGGTCGACTGGATCGGCGTCGGCGGGTCTGCATACTGACGGTTGACGCCGAAGCGAATGGCAGTCAAACGTCAAAAAGTTGGTAATGTGCTAAATGCCAAGGCACACCACCACCACCACAGCAAGCCCCGCAATCCCGCCAGGGGATCAGCTTGACTGGCAACACGAGCCGCTGATGGATCAGCAGATGGAAGAAGAAGCGCAAGACAAGGAGAAGTTGGGGGCAATGTGGAGGAAGGAAGAGGCGCAAGGCCGAGTGAGAGGCGGCGCGCTTTTTGTCGGCCGTTGGCGCGCCAGCGCGTAAAAAAATGGCGCGAAAACCAACACAAAGGAAACACGAGTGCCGCATCGTAACGGTCACTTGTGCGTGAAACTGAAGTGTTGGAGAGGCTCTTTTGTGCCTAAAATGATAGGAAAAAGATCAGGCTTCTGGATGGCGGAATGAGTGTTGTCAACTAATGTTGAGGACGGCAGCCCTGACAACAAACAAAAAAATAAGGCTAGAGAGAGTGAGCAAAGCGGCCAGAATTGCAGAGATGAATGGTAAAGTCGGAGAATTGCTAAGTTAAGACACATGCTTGAAACAGAGACTCGATGCAATTGGTGCTTGCCATCAGAGCTCTGTGCAACTTTGAATTTGATAGCTTGACGCGCTCATTGATCGGTTCCGACGGACGACCAGACGACGGACGACGGCAACGACGGTACGTGGACGGTGCGTTTGAGGGAGCAGACTGATGACGGGCGGTGGGGCAAGCTGGGGCGGGACGACGCCGAGGCGGGAAACACAGCTGTGCAAGAAATGGGCCATCACTGATCTGCCTAATGATGTGGTGTCGAGCAGCTGTTGGTGCGTGTGCTGCCGCCATGGCGCGAGGCAAGCTGTCCTCGAGTGCTTCTTCTCGCCAGGGTATGTGCCCGATGTCATGGCCACCGGGCGTCCAGATATCTTTGTACTGCTTCATTGACTTGCTTGTGCGCTGTCCTTGCCCTGTGGAAAAGCAGACCCTGAGGATCGCGTGAAGACGGCGCCAACCAGCCGTAACGCGAGTGCTGTCAGCCATGTCAGCCAGCGGCCCCAGGCTCAAACCAGTAATGACCCAGATGCAATGATCCCCGGCGTCCCTCCTCCACCGACGCCCTATCATCGACCCGCTCCGTTGGAGAGCCGTCCGACCAAGCCCTTTGTGGTGGCCTGTACGTCTCATAGCCTCTTGGCCGCAGCCTTGCTTCCCTGCACGCTTTCGCTGGGACAACCATTCTGTCGTCCGCATGTGGCCCTTATCCTTCATCTTCACACGCGTAGCTGATGAGGGGCTATACCTGGAGGAACATGTCTGGCCCACTTTAAATCTTGCTCTGGAAAAGCTTCTCAGTGCCATTCCTTACAACATCCCCAAAGTGTGTACTCGCAGCGATTCGAGACCGCACCCAAGCCTGTCCAACCCTCCCCTCCAGGTGCAACCGGCGATTCTTCCTCACATCTCCAACACCGCTCCCTCTTTGCGTAGGAGATTCGCCAACAGTATCAAGACCCATCCATGCGGCGCATCAAGCACCCCGAGCATGCCCAGTTTGCGCCCATTGAATGGCTGGCTCGTTTTCTGAAAGAACACAATCCCAATAAGCCGCCCCAGCTCAGCACTGAACAGGCTGCCATCGTTTTGCAGTCCTATGTTCGTCGCAAGCTTGCGCGCGACCACGTTGCCCGCCTTCGAAGTCACGCGGCTCAACAACGCGCTGAGCGCGAGCAGGTGAGTCCCCGCGGCCTCTGCGACCGTCCTGTTTGCTGGTTGGGCCGAATTCACTTGCTGGCTCGCGCTTTGGTTGTATGTTAGGCGGAGCTGCGCGATGCCGCAGCCCGGCGGATCCAAGCTGCGTATCGCGGTCATTCCGTTCGCTTGGCCCTCAAGGCCGGCAAGCTACAGGACATTCGGGGCTGGTAGTCCCTGATCAACTGACTTGCCGTGTTCCCTTCATCCAGCCACCCTTTCCTATTCAGTTCTTTAACGCACGATCATGGTGCTATGCATAGCTCCGACGGTCGTCAGAGGGTTTCTTGTGTTTTTCTTTTAATCGATTTTTAAATGGTCGATTCGAGCAGCTTGCTTCGCTTTCTATTTGCCGGTAGCTGCGCGCACACATTCAAGTGTTGTGCGGCCAAGATCTTGAGAGCGTACCCCCCTCAAATCTACATGTCCAACACCTCTACAGACACGTCGTCTTTATATTCTTCATCATCCAGGTCTGCGTCATCCTCACTGGCTTCTGCCGACGCTTCACTTGCCGCAATAGAAGCCTCGAGCGCCGGCTGGTGTTGACTCAGACTTTCCTCGTGCGTATCATCGCACAAAAAGCCATCAAGATAAGCGGATGTGTCATTCAATCCCTATTCAGGCAGCACATTCGATGCGCATACCATGTTAGCCAGTGCCTGCACAACACTTGGTGAACAAGCCCAGATTGGGTTTGTTCATGGTGACTCCGCCATGCCTCGGGTGAAATCAACATACCGTCGAGTTTTGAGCCTGGCTTTCGTGCGCCGCTCCGCTCACGTCGTTGCGTGGCGTCATGTACAGGCTGGTGGCCGGTCGGGTGGTGTCAGCGACTTCCATGTAGCTTTCCATGTCCGTGTCTTCAGCGTCATCGTTGTGCGCAATGGACACGTTGGTCGTCCACGCGGAGGCATGGCTGTCGCAAGCAGCAGGCCCAGCATGAGGCTGCTGCTGCTCGTCAGCATCGGCAGGGCGAACGCTTTCATAGGTTGTCTCGGCTGCGCCTAGATCGTAGGTAGCCGAGCTCAAATGGCCAAAGTCCAGATCCACTGTTTCGTTCTTCAGGTCTTGGCTGGCGTCCACCTCGGCGTTCATGGGGACTGCAGGCTCGCTCTCCAACGTCGGGGTCGAGGCTCGGATGTGCAAGCCACAAAAGCTTGGACGTCCTGGCGCCAGGCGGCTTGCAGGCGAGGCAATGCCCGTGACGTCTTCAGGCAGCGCCGATGTCGAAGAGACATCCAGAGGCGCCATAGACTCGTCTGTGGAGATGGCCTCGGCTTTGGCGTCCGAAACGGTGCCCGTTGCGGGACGGGCTTCGGTCATGGTCACCTCGGCATCTGCCTGGAAGGAAGTTGAGGCCAAGTCCACGTCATCCACGTGGTCCTGCATGTAAGCATCCATTTGATCGAGTGGGCGGTTGCCTTGTTGCAAAGCCAATAAGCCCTGAATTTTCTTGGCGCGGCACTGGCGACGATGGCTGCAAATTCCAACCAAAAGCAATCGTGAGTGCAAAACTAGCGCGAGCACACGGGCAGCAAGCCTTGACCAATATGCGGAGGGTCGTGTTCTGCATGCACGTACCGGTCCTCTTCCTGTGCTTGGGCGAGCTGATCTTCAACAGACACACGAGTGGCCTGCTCTTGAGTCATCTTGATGTGAAGCGCTTCCATGTGCTTCTTGGCTTGCGCCAATTGTGCCTCGAGTGCGTTGATGGCTTGATCCTTATGGGCGGCATCTGACACGGCATCGTTGTCCGAGTATTTGAGGGCTTCCTGCATCTGGACGCGCAGTGTGTGTTCGGCATGGTAGGCCATGCTGCGGCGACTGCGGGCCTTTTCAGCACTCGTCTTGGCCTGGAGGGCAAGCTCAATCTCCTTGCGCAACGTGTCAATAGCACTGCGCTGCTGATGTAACTCCGAGGTGAGCAGGTCGTTGGTCGTCTTGAGGGTGGCAGCCATGTCTTCGCTGTTAGCGAGCTGCGTCTTGAGGGCGGCAATCATTTTACCCTGCTGCTGCTTGAGGGCACTGGCACTGTTTTCGGCATCACGCAAGAGAGCCGATGCGGTCTGTGCATCCCGGACGGCATCTTGCAGTGCGGTGCGGAGCTGTTCGCGCTCAGCCGTCAGCTCTTGCATGGCCTTGGCCTGCTGGTGCAGGCGGTGGCGTAGTTGCTTTGCTTCGGCTTCGGCTTGTGCTTGGCCTGCTTCGGCCTTTTGCGTGAGGGCGCGGTGGCGGGCCCGCTCTTCCTGAGCCTCAGTGGCGGCGGCCTCGAGCTGGGCATTGCGGTTTTCAAGGCCGTCAACCTTGAGGGTGAGGCCCTTGATTTGGTTTTCGTACGTTGCCTTGAGCTGCTGCAGCGCACCAACATCCAGCGCCTGGCGTTGCGTCTGCACAGCGCGCATGGCTCGGCGCTCTTCATCGAAGCGCGGCGTGGCCGCACCCACGGGAGCCTATGCCAGGAGCAAGGGTCTGGTGAGGAGATGGGGCAAGGTCAAGCTGAGACGACCGATGGTCTTGGCTTGAGAGGTAACGCACCGGATCAGCTGTCAGGCCAGCAAGCGTGTCCTTGGGCCGATGCTGAAGGCTGCGAGCAGAGGGTGCCATCAGGATATAGCGTGCGAAAAAGAACATCGTCGGAGCAAAGAAGAATGGTTGCCAGGATGAGCAGCAGAGCAGCTGGTACCGAACAGCCGTACCGCGCGGAGCGAGGGGTGGGTGCCTCGTCGGGCAAGGCATCAAATGTGAGGAGCGACTTCATGGAGGGCTGGTGCCGGCGTGAGGGAGTCTTGTATTCGTCGTTTGCCGGCCGATTCCACGGCGATGGCGACAGCGGTGTGCGCTGCGAAGGATGGGCCATTTCGATGGTGGCGCGGGCGGCGACGAAGGATTCAAGCACTGGTCCAAAAAGATAAAGCAACACAAGATCGGGAAGGGAAAAAATGGCTGACACCGATGATGTGCGTGCCCCCCTAAGGCTCTGGTGTGTGGTGTGTGTGTGTGTGCGTGTGCGGCGGACGAACGTGAGCGCGCGCGCTTGTATTGTTTGTGTTGGCCACCGCGGCGGAGAGATTCAAACCGAAGCGGGAACATAAACTTGAATCATTTCGATTTGATTTTCATCTTTTTATTTATAGTGGAAAGGAGTGATATTATCGAACTCAGTGACGATGCTCGCGTTGTGTCTCTAGCAAGCGAATACAGTGAACGAATTTATTTTCAGAACACGAACGCAGTGAAAAATCATGTGGCGACGGCTGATGACGAGTGGCAGCAGCAGCGTGCGGCGCTCCGGCCTCTGGATGGGCCGCGGTGGGCCGGGTACGTCTTTGACAGGGGTCGCGCTTTGGTGTGAGGTCGTTGGAGATGGACCACGTTCTTTTTGTTGATGGCTTGCCAAGGGTGGCGGCGACAGCATCTCATCATGTCGGTTTCAACTGGATAAGTAGGTACGAGTGCGGTGCGATGCTTCCATGGTGGGTCGGACACGGCGGGTGCTATGTGCTATGCGTAGCGGCAAGCATGGGGGCAGGGCCAGGTGGCATGCCGTGTACATGGACTTGCCACGCTTTGCTTATGCTGCGCTGGGCTTTGGGGACATGGTTGGCAGGTCCATCGCTAGAGGTCGTGGAAAAGGTCACACCTGTTCTCGTGTACGTGCAAAGGGCTGGCTTGTACTGGCGCCCAGCGCAGCGTTCTCCGGTTGTGCGACTGATGCAAATGGATGTGGACGTGCAGGCAACGCGCGCGCGAGGCGCTGCGGACAGGCCATGGAGATGCGCTGCTTCGCGCACGACACGACCTTGGCGAGAGCATTGGTGAGGGGTTGCTCGAGGGGTGGCCCGCCGAGGCCGGATCTGACTTTGATGCGCCGCCTCGGCCTGTTACGCACGGGCCTGACTTTGATGCGCCCCTGCTTGAGATGTGTGGCAGAGGTCTTGAGTTCGATGAAAGGCGAGTTTGCGGCAGGATCGGCGGACCACAAGCGCGTGGCGGCTTGTTTACAAAGCCTGCAAGGTACGATTAAAGAGACGGGGGTGGGCGCTTTTTCTATATTGGCTGGAACATTCGCTGGCTGGTACGTTCGCTGGCTGACACGTCTCGTTTGCTGTGCTGCAGAGGAGTTTCAGAGTCTGTTGATGGAGGACCGTGGTCACTTTAGCATCGATGTGTTCCAATCCAGTGAACGACCATCGGCCACGGAGCGAGACGTTGAGGGTGGCCCCGCGTCGCCGGTGGCAGATCAAGAGGACAAAACTGGCAAGGCTTAGCCTTGACGCTCATGGTGCAGTGTTTCTTTTTTTTGAAGCGCCATGGTGCGCAACAGGAAAAGTGTTCAAGAGCGTTGGTTGTGTGCCCGCAAAGTGGTGCGTGTTTTCCGAGAAGAGACGCAAAGGCAAGCAATTGAATCTGTGCAGGAGGGCTGGCATTCAACTTGGATTGTACTACGCGGCATAATGTGGGAATACAAGAGCGGAGACCGACCGGCGGTCACTAAGCCATGGCCAAGAGCTTGGCAGGGGACAGGAAAACAACGGACACGACTGCGCGGTCAATGGCCGCTAATGGGTGGTGGAGGCCACCGAGCTGCTCAAGGCGTCGGGGCGCACACAATCGAGCAGCGTCTTGGTACACTTGGCGTGGCACCGGATGCCACAGTTGGCACATTCATAGCCCTAAAAATGCACGTCGCACACCAGCAATGAATCCTACGGTCCCAGGTCTCGTGTTGGTGACGCGCCAAAACCTCAATACCTGCTTGGCAAACATGGAGCCTTTCATAACGAGGCCGCAGGCATCGCAAGTGGCCCTTGGTTTCCAATTTTGCGCCAGCAGGCGGTGCCCATTGGTCTGTCGGGCTTTTTGTCTATGTTCATTCCGCCATTTGTGGGTGCGTGAGCCGGGGCTCAAGCTTGACGGGCAGAGAATGGGCTGGGCGCAAGGAGGGGACGCACAGTTTTTTTTCCGACATGCTTTTGCGATTCCGTAAGAGGTCAAGTTCACTGAGGCTCACAGTGAGACTACGCGCCCGGAGCTTGTCTACGCTTGGCGATGTGGCCTAGCCATTTGTCGCCAGGGAGTATGAGCTCATGCATATTGGAAAAAAAAAAGGAAGGGGGGGCGGGTTGGCGGAGCCCATGCAATAAGAAGCGAGCAAGGTGGTCATCTTACGAGAGGATGGTCCTGGAAGGCCATGAGAAGTTCGCGGGCTTCTGGCGCCTCTTGACACACCTGCAGGTTCACCCGGCAAGAAGAGAAGAAGGCGTGGTGGTTGAGACGACGCTGAGCCATCAGCGAAGACGAGGGCCGCAGCCATGGCAAAAGGCCCCAGACAAACGCGTCGTCTTTCCGACCTGGGTGAGTATGCCACGAAGGAGGTCGACATCGTCGCAGGCGCGAACAAACACCTCCAAGTCAAAATCCTACACCCCAACCACCCCAAGGGGCGAAGCACGCGTCGACACAGAGGCAGCCGAATGAACGATCACCAGCACCAGCAGGTCCCAAACGGAGACGAAAGCCCAAGGTTTGGAGCGTCGTGCAAAGGGGTTGTTCCTCACCTGCTCTGCCGGGACGGCCATGGCCAACGGCGGGAGCGTAGTAGAGCCCACCACGCGCTTGTACATTCGTCGCAGCTACACACAGTCTCTCCGCCTGTTTACGCCACCACGACCCCGACCACCGAGACCAGAAAATCTTGAAAGGAGGCGAGGGGGCGGACTTGTTGTGCCGTTCTGAGAAATTAAAAAAAATTAAAAATGAGAGAGAGAGAGTGTGTGTGTGTGTGTGTGTGTGCAACACACACACATCGTCACAACAAAAAAAAACATGAAAAAAGAATAATAAGGCCTTGAAGCTTCACTGCATCGAAGTGGTGTTTGTTTGCCCTTGCCACTTGTCAAGGAGGAGACGGCAGCGAGATTATAGTAATATATTGGATCAATTGTTGATGTTGGGTAGGGCAGGGCCAGTGTGTTCCTCTTCTTTCGGAAAAAAAGCCAAAACCGCAGCCTTGCCCTTCCTCTCATTCAGGAGAGACAACAACAGTGGTCGTTTGTTTAGACAGAGATGGTGGGGTAGACAGTGTCAAAGAGGATGCCGCAGGTGCCGCAAACAGTCACCGTCTTGGGGCCGTCCTTGCAGCCCGAGCCATCGAGGGGGGTAATGTCGGTACCGCAGCGGCCCTGCTCGTTGGAGGTGCGGAGGACCTTGATGTAGCCGTGGTCGCCCCAGTGAGGGGTCCAGGAGTTGCGGACGAGCCAGTAGTCCTTGCCGTCCTCCGAGCCGTAACCGACGAGCTGCACGTTGTGGTCAATGTCGGGGTTGGTCTGGTTGCAGCCGTCAAAGACACCCTCTTCGTAGCTTTGCCAGCGGATGGCCTCGACGGAGATGGCGATGGGGCCAAGGTTGGCGACAGCAGACATCAGGGGCTCGTACTGGTTGGAGGGCAGCTTGGTGTAGCCCGTCACGTTGATGACCGACTTGCTGGGGTCAAACTGGCACTCAAAGTTCTTGCCGGCCCACGAGATGTAGGGGTAGGTCCACTCGGTCTGCACACCGCCGTTCTTGGCAAAGGCGTCGTAGGCGAGCTCGGCCGTGCCACCCTCGCAGCCACCGGTGCCACCGCACTCGTTGGGGTTGGGCGTGCAATCCAGAATGTTCTATGCATCATGCCAAACGAGGGCCAAGAGCGCCACAGTTTGATGTGAGGTGAGTGAGTGAGCCAAAATCAAGAGAAAGGGACAGAAGGGGACAGAGGTGTCTAAAAAAAAAAAAAAAAAAAAGGGGGTGGGGGGAACCAAAACAGAAACGTAGACAATCTGATCCACACCTCCTGTCCCAGATTTGACAAATCATCTTCCCCAAGTCTGGCACTGGAAACTAACCTGCTCGGAGAGGGTCTCGAGGTAGCCAGTCTTGATGGCAACGTGGGACTCGAGTGTCTGGGCGGAGCCAAACGACCAGCAAGAACCGCAGTTGCCCTGGTCCTTGACGGGGGTCACAACACCCTGGGTACGCCAGTCAACCGTCTCGGGCAGCTGGACCATGCCCAGGCGGGTCTGGGTGGGCGCGGGCTGGTGCTTCGAGTAGCCGTAAGACTGGTCATAGCCAAGCAGGCGACGGAACTCCTCGCTGGTCCAGTCGCTCATGTGGTTCACGCCCTCCTTCCAGGTCTTGGTAGTGTCAGCGTTGTGTGCGCGGATCTTGGCCAGGTTCTGCACACAAGCAAGAGTTGGCATGAAATAAAAAAAAAATTAAAAAGGAAACAAGAAAAAAAAAGTGGGAAGGGGTTGTTGTTGTTGTTGTGTTGTGTTGACTTGTGGCGGGCGTTGAGGAGGCAGCTGTGACATGCCAGCAACCACAGGTAAAGACGGACCTGCTCAAACACTTGGCGGCGGTACTCGTGCTCCGTGGTCGTGGCGTAGGCCTTCTTGTACTCGGCCTTGTAATGCTACAACAACGAAACCCAAACAGAACGCGCACGCACGCCGCCACAGGGTCAGCCCGCGTCATTTCCACGCGACAAGTTCAAGCAACTCGACAACGGGGCAGGTCAAGAACGCACCTCAAACGTATAGCCCTCAAGCTGATGCCAGCGAGTCTTGGCCGCGGCCATGCCGGCCAGCAGCACGACTGCCAAAACAGCCACGGTCGTTGCCTTCATCCTGCTCTTTCCCACTGAACACAAGACAGAGAGAGAGAGAAAAGAAAAATGCAACACAGGTCGTCAAGTGAGAGAGAAAGAAGAGAAGAGAGAGAGAGAAGAGAGAGAGAGAGAGAGGAGAGAGAGAGAGAGAGAGAGAGAGAGAGAGAGAGAGA